AGGTGCAAGAACAGATTAGCACTGACAAGGTTGCCTAGGGTGTGAAAAGACCAAATTTCTTGGCCAGGATATCTGCCTCCATAGGAACGTATCTGGACACAGGCTCCAACAGAGTGGAGTATGTTGAGGGAAATTTTCTGTTTTCTTGGGCTCCCTTGCTAAAGAATTCTGGAAGCTACGTCTTGACCAGGAGACTAAGAAGCATCACAAGTAATGGATCTCAGGAGTAAGACTAGAGGTACCATAAATCCAGAGGCTTCACTGGCATGTTTGTTTTATACTTGGAGTTTAATTGTTAGCAGATAAATTGTCTGGTAGCTGAGAAGTACATTTGAAGTCCTGGGAGTTGCTTGTTTTCTCAGTCTCTCAGGAAACTTCCACCAATTTTCCAACACCACCAGCTGCAATTCTGGTCTTTCAGTTACATGCCATGTTTATGAAACTGATAATAAAAACTTTAATAATGCTTTCCTACTTCTTTACTTAACATTAGAATTAAAATCACTGTTATGTTTCTTATGATTTAAGTTACATAAACAATTTTTACTATTTGATAAGAAATGGTCTCCAAATTGTAATATTACCTACCTTTCACTTTATATCTATTTTATAGTCCTGTACTTTAGAGGTAAAATATTTCAGGTAACAGAGGGGAATACTCTTACTAACAGCTGTGTGGTAGGAAAAGAGCCTCAGAGAGTAACTGTTGGCCAGGTGACCACTGTATAATGCACTAGAGGTTATGCATTAAACCATTCCCTTCTAAACAGAGAAACTACAAGCATCTCTTCCCCTTCACAAGCCAGGAATCTATGCATCGTGTTCCAGGAAGGATTTCCACTGCATTTTTTAGATACAGAAAAGTGTATTGCCTTTCTTTGATGTTTTGTTCTCTTTTTTCCACTATTGATGAGCCCTAAGCCTGTGCCCATATCAAAATGTTCCTGCCAAATTAAAGGCTGTACTTGAAGATATACTTTTTTTTTTTTTTTTTAGCCTGGCTGATATGAATGGATTCCAGCAACAAACCACGTGAACCCAGTCCAGTTCTGATAAGGAAGAAAAGTGATAAATTAGTCTATTATGACTAACTTATAATGTTACTACAATAACAGAAAGCCAATTATGAATAGATCAAGAAAAATTAAATAATATGTTAAATTATTACAGCACAACCATTTATCATCCACCCTGGCATAATGTAAATATAGTGCTACTAATGGCCTGCAATCCATTATTCCTGATGCTTTTAAATGCTGCTCTTAGGAGAAGAAAAAAAAAATTATTAGTGCACAGAAGTATCATTAGCATGAATTTCCTAAAGGAAGAGGCATGCCAAAAATGATTAAAAAAAAAAAAAAAAAGTCGGCTTTTGAAAAAATTCCTGTGATGTGTTCTTTTAGTATTTTCAATTACTTTTTTTCATTCATTCATTCATTCGTTGATTCATTCATTCATTCACTCACTCAATCACTCACTCACTCTGATTTGGTCTAATGTGAAGGTGAGGAGGCTGAGGAATAACCTTGTTGCTCTGTGCAGATTCCTGAAGCAGATGTGGAGAGGAGGCACTGAGGTTTTCTCCTTGAGATCCAGTGACAGAACACATGGGAATAGCACAAAGCTGTGCTGGAAGGGTTCAGACATAGAGACTGGGGAGCATTTCTTTACTGACAGGGTGGTCTGACACTAGAACAGGCTGATGCCCTGAGATGTTCAGTGCCCTTAAGAATGTGCTTTAAATTCTGCACAGCCCAGAAGTGCCCAGGCAGTTGGACAAGGTGAGCTTTGTAGGTCCCTTGCACCTGAAATAAATACTCTGTTCTGTTCTAGGCTGTGCTGTTCTTCATATGCAAGTACATTTAATCAAAGTAAGCAAGCCATGGACAGGTTCACACGTGCACATGTAAATATAAGAAGGAAGTTGTATTATGGCTTGTGCACTAATGAGTAAAAATTGTAACTAATGGCCTTGTCTCAATGCACATTTACTGAAATACTGTGATAGTTTTTAACTAAGACTAAACTAAGTTTAAATCATCTTTCTAGTCTTTGACTGAATGGTTGCAGTAGCACTTTAAAGCATAGGTTAGGGTTTTTTTCTTTCTTTGAAGTAACCAAACTATGTGATTCTTCCATTGATTTCACTGATTTCATGAGAAAATTAATGTAATTATGTATTAATATGGCATATTTGGCACCTAACAAGGTTTTGACCTTTCCTGTTAAAATTGTTTCTGTAAATAAATTGCAAGTGAAATACATATATATTTAGCTTTCAGATATGAAATAACATGAACACAAGCAAAATCTACTTATTTAAATTTCTGAAAGGCAGTGTGTTTCTGTCTGCTTAATTCACCTGCCTGAAAGACCAAACTGCCTTAGAACCAGCACAGTCCACTTATTCCTAAAAGTTTCCATTCACTTTCCATAATAATTAAAACATGTTTAACTGCAAAATAAAGGAAATAATCAGGAAAAATTGATTATTTTAATTGTCATTTTAAAATTAAATATGAATTATTTATGTGCAGTGTCATAAAATGACATCAGGAGGCTGATGAAGAAATAAGTAGGAATGCAATGCGGTTTATAGCCGATGCATCAAGCAGCAGCTTGGTGCACATTCTTTCCACCCAAGGAAAAGCATCTAAAAGAATTTCCTCTTAAAATAACAAGCATTTAGCTTCCTATATTCAGCAAAACATTAGATCTGAAGGAATAAACTGTAGATATTACTCAGAAATAATAATAAATTCTTAAAAATTAGTTGGGTTTCTTCAGGGATGCAGTCATGCCCTGCAATGAACTTTCAAAATCTTGGTTCATAATAAAAAAGGATTCATAAATTTTGGGGTCTTTCCTGTAATTCTTACCTTAGAAAACAGAAGGAAAAGCCAGGATTTTCCTATGAATTAAAAGCTGAGCAAGAAATTAGATAAAATCATGAAAACAAAAAAGCAAATCAGGAAAAATAATTTACTAATAAATGTCCTAACTAAAATTCTAGATATTTTTAATGGAACTCAACTTAATCTTAATTTTAATCTTAATCTTATAAAATTTTCAGAAATTAATGCAAGATTTTTAAAATGAAATATGTGTGTCTGTGGTTTTGTAGGGATATTACCCATTCACTGTTTTGAAAACTGTTGCTCGGTAATGAAAGTGTTTGTCATGGGTGAGAATTTTTTATATTTACTGATATTAAATAATATTAAACAATATTAAAGGGATGCTGGGATTAAAATGATGTAACATATGAAAGAATTCACAAGTAAAAGGATCAGTTAATGACTGACAAGAGAATCTCAGCTATTTGTAACTGTTATTTATTCAAGACCTAAAAGCTTTAGAGAGGTGTCTGTGGAGTTTATTTTTCCTAGACTGATAAACAAAAGCTGTTGCAAAGCTATTAAATTGTTTACACACACCATTTTGAGAAACATAAATAATCCAACTGTGGTGGCATCAAGTTCCAAGACACAAGATTCCCTAATGCACCACATCACCTTGGATAGGGAACATGTGTCTGCAATTTAATGGCAAAATAAATGCTTCATCACATGAAGCTATTTTTAACTAACTAGCCTGACCACTGATCTTCTACATTCAGCTATGGAGAAAATCCTTCAATAATTCTCTGCATTATTTCAGGATTCATCTGTTCTGTAAGTACAATTCAGTAACTGTTACAACTAACCAAACAGAACAAAACACCAGCTACAGAAATACTCAGGTTTCAACTGAGTATTGTTGAAATTGAGTATTTGGCATACATTCAGCTTTCACTCCAAATCTGTGTGATGGCTTCCACAAGTTGCACAAATATCTAGGATTGGAACATTTACCCCTTCATCCTGATCTACTGAAAAAGAATTTGAAAGCTACTAGAGTGGTGAGGGAAGACACAGGGAAGTAGTGAAGACTCAAAAGATGCAACTGTAAAAATCCTAATTTCTATGGAAAACCAAAATAGTACTAAAAAAATTTAACAATTAATCATATTATGAAACTTTTCTGTGGTTACAATCCTTAGTAAAAAACTTGGAATTTTTTATGGAAAGAAACAAAAACTAAAAGAGCAATTTGTACATCAATCTATGAATGTTTGTGTAGCTGACTAGTTTATTAAAGACAGTATTTCTTTAAGTACAGAAACCCTTCAAAACTTCCCCAGCAACAATTCTTCTGGCATTTTGTGCTACAATATTTTCTGGCGTCTGACACAGGCAAAAGTAAAAACACAAAGCTCCAGATACAAAACAGAATAAAAATGATGCAGGACTGAACACTCAAAAATTACTAGAACATAATGCAGCACTTTTTGTTAAGTGTTTGGTACTCTTTGGAAACATACAAAAGAAGCGATCTCTTTGAAATTAATCCAGGTTTTTTCACACATCACTAAATAACAGAGAGTGGCAAATATCAAACTATGAAAACTTGGCTTTTCATCTTGTTTTTCTGAAAAAAAACCCCAATTCCTGGTAAAGAATGCTGAGGACAAAATAAAGATATGCTTTATTCAATTTGATTAAATTAAAATTCATAAGATATTATTAAAATAAATTTGTTTTGCAGATGTCTAAACACTGAAGTCAAAGTCATATATTGCTTAGGTTGGTTGTGCAATATTTATTTTCCTGATGAAAATCATAAATTAGTGTGAATGAGTATTTAACATTATGTTTTAGAAATAAGTTCCATGCCAGAAAATCCCACCTTTCATCATACTGTATGAAAAACAATATATTTAAAAAATATATAGTAACAAAAAGACTCGAACCAAAACAAAGCAAAAACCAGAATGCAGAGTTTATAGATTACCTACAACTTTCAACTGCATTTTTTCAAAGTTGACCATACAGTAGAATAGTAGCTGTGGCTATTTTAAGAAACAATATTGCATGTACTTTTAATGACAGTTTTTGTATAATTTCTAAATTTCCCTCTGTTAGTAAATAGTAGCTGGTCAACAATAAAGAGAAGCAAACCTTCAGAATCCCTTTCTGTCCATCCTAAGAGCTCCAAAATGCTGAGGTCTTCATTCAGCCCCTCTGCTATCAGTGAAGTTCTGATATTTTATCTTCTCACAGTTTTGCACCTCTGTAACTGTATAAAATAATTCAGGTTACTTACATAACCGCTTTTTGTCAGACACAAAATGTGATTTAAAATGTTATATTTTCATGGAAAATAAGTGAAATTGAATCTTTGGTGGCGAGATGGCTTGGGATTTAGTAAGGGCACTGGCATTTTGGGTCTTCTTTTAGAAATTTTAGTGGGACCAGTCAGCACTATGGTTCCAGGAAACAGAAGTTCCTTGATGGATAAACTTTTTAACCACACTCTAAAAAAATGTAGAAAAAAGGATTGTGGTTATTATGGAATGCACTCTACTAAACTTGAGGCTTATTTAAGATGCTACTACAGCACTAACACATGACCATATTAAACTCCTGTTTGATGCATGGTCACCCACCTCAAGAGGGAAAAGCATTCTGCTTAGATCTCTCAGTGCTGTCCTCTGTAAAACAGTCAGGAAACCAGGAATGGCAGTACTGAAGCCAGTCAGACACAGGTATGTATGTATGTATGCTGCACAAACCTAGGGCCACAAAAATGCTACCTTTCACTGTTACTAATTACAAATATGAGTTTAATCTTCCTAGAAGCATAGCTGATGGTACCGCCTTTATGTAACTTCTGCTGCTGAAATTGCATCTGTAGATACAGCCATAAAAATGTTGTAGTGTCATTAATAATATAACTGGAGAAAGGTTTTCATTGCTCTTCAAAACTATCAGCTCACATTCAGTGAAGCAGAGCAGTTGATAATGTGCACAGACTAATGAAGCATAGAAAATATCTTTGCTCATGAGATCCTGACAGCCTGAACAAATTTTAATCAACGATTACCTTCTTTGTGCCAATATGTTATTGCATTTTTCTTTGTGACAACATCAGCAGTTGAGGGAATTTGGGTTATTTCGCCTGAAGCAAAGACAGCTCAAGGGTGACCTTATCACTCTCTACAACTGCTGGAGTTGTAGCCAGGCAGGGGCTGGTCTCTCCTCCCAGACCACCACCAGTGACAGGCTGAGAGGACATAGCCCCAAATGCACCAGGGGAGATTCAGGCTGGAAATGAGGAGGAATTTCTTCACAGAAAAGGTTGTTAACCATTGGAACAGACCTCCCATGTATGTAGTGGAGCCACTGTTCCCTGAAGGTGCTCAAGAAGCAACAGCACACGGCACTTACTTCTATGGTGTTGTTGACAAAGTGATCAAAGGTTGCACCTGATGATCTCAGATGTCTTTTCCAAATGAAATGGTTCTGTGATTCTGTGTGATTATTTTAATAAAATATATCATCAAGCAGAAGATGTCTCATTCATAATTTTTTGCATAAAAATAATAATTTCCTAAAAATGGCTTCTCAGTGTTCTTCAGATTTTCATATATTCTCTGACAGCTATTTTTCATAAAATTACCTTTTCAGTAAGTGAGTTTACTAATATAACCATATAGACGATTTCAGGATTTTAAGAGGGTCAAAACTTTTTCTTCAGTTAGTTAATCAGAGAATGGCTCAAATTGGCTCAAAAGCCCCTTAGAACGGGACAAGCTTCCCTCTTAGGACAGGTTATTAATCACCTTGCCCAGATGAGATATGAACATCTCCGGGGCAAAAATTTATTTCCTCTGGCAATCTGTTCCTGTGCTTAAACAGCTCCTCTACATATTCCCCCTCTACTCCTTCTCTGCCTCTAAAGAAAACCATTTTGTTTGATTTGCTTTTGCTGCACTTTATGTCACTTGTCTCCTGTGTTTGTTCTGTACCTGTCAGGAGGCTTTTGTCTTCTCTATAACTGCTCATCATAAATCTGTATACAGCAGGTGGACATACCCTCCTGTCCTCAGCTTTTCCATTCTCACAATAACCATATGCATTTGTCAGGCTGCTCTTGTACACCACATGCTACAGATAGATCTCTTACCAGTCTGGTGCTGCTCTGCTGAGCTTGGTTTCTCAGTACTCTTGCAGTGGAGTGCTACAAATGCACCAGAATCCCACACAAAGTCTCACAAGTGTGAAGTCACTTTCATTCTCCATTTTTTCCCTAACCCAGGGACACTTCCTGTACTTTAAGAACTAATCATTGTCCTTGTTGTGTTAGTTTACTCAGCATCCATAGATGGGATATCACCTGTTCTTTCTTTCCTGTGATCAACTGTGTCTGCTGTAGCAGCGGGGTTGGAAAGGCAAGTTTCCATACCTCATCTGAAATACCTTTATTCCTTTACCCTGTCCACCACAAACCACTTCAAAGTCTAACTGGGCACAACACAGTCCTTGCTCCATTGCAAGATCAAGCAGATCTCTGACCTTTATCCATTTGGAAATTGGCAAATAAACAAAAGAGCTCATTTCCATTATTAAGTCTGATACCATGATCCCACTCCTCTCCTCCTTAGAGGATGACTCACTGTGAAGGACAGAAATGCATGACTCAGCCTTGCCAGTCTGAGACTTGGCAGTCAGTAACAGAGTTTAAAGCCTTAATAAGATATAATTAAATGCTAAATATTGTTCTTTCCTTAGCTTTTCTTAAGAAATTTCGAAAAGCGAGGATGTCATACCAATATAGACCACTTTTTTTACAAAATGAGAGCAGAGATAGATACAGTAATACTATACTGTTATCATGTATTACCTTTGGTCCCTACCTTTGGGTAATAAAAGTGATACAGATTTAGAGTTTTCAGATAATGGAACAATCTGTTTGTGTATGAGAAAAAAATATTATAGATTTTCTGCAGATAGCACTTTTGAAGTGTAATTAAAATTTAACCAATCATACTATTACTCTCTCAATTAAAAAAAATAAAAAATAAATCTTATTGAAACCTCTAAAAGGGAAGAATTCTAAAAATCGAATCTAAAAAGCTGCCTCCAAAAATTCAGTGTTACTTTTACAGTCTTTGGAAAAAAACTGTTGGCAATGGACATGTTGTTCCTCTGCACAGCATCACTACTCTCAAGAGGTTTCTTCTGTTATTTCAGTACATACATAGTAATGGCAGACTCCTGATAAGGATCATGTGGTGCAGAATATACTTGAATCTTCAGAAAAGAGAAAGAAGTCACTGCTCCACTGAATGGTCCAAGCAAGATGAATCTGTTTTATTTTTGCTGCCAAAGCTATTCATAATCCCTTTTTCTAAGAGCTGCATGAGACTTTCAGTTCTAAATCCTCTCCATTTCCCCTCTATTTCCTTTCCCAGATAAGAAAATCATTGGCTGTGTATATTTCAGTGTGACAAAGCTGTTTTATTTTCACATGTAGATCTATATTCAAACACATTCAAATTGAGAGATGATTCAAGTTGACTCCATGGTTCAAAAACACAAGACATACTTGGCAGGACATGTACAGCTCAAGCAAGTGCAGTTTCTCTGTGCATGCCCATAACAAAAAATATTTTGGCTTCTAGTTAGCTGCTACTTCATTTTTAACTCTGCCTTAATAAGTCTTAATTTTCAAATGTTATATACTGCTTTACTCAGCTATCTTCTATAAAATGCTGCTTCATTAAAAAAAAAAAGAAATCAAACACCAAAATGACACCAGGTGATCTTATTACATTAGAATAGTTTTTCAAGTAGCTTTACTCTTAATTCTTACCCCCAGATGTACCTGCTCTTTTCTTTCAAGTGACATAAAAAATTTAGATTTAGCTCCCTGAATGTCGCCTGCAACATTCAGCATATGATAGCTGGAAGCTATTATTTCAATATTAATTTGTTTTTTTGGTGAGCATTAGGGACTTATAAACTTCAGGTATGCACATTCTTGTTACTTGCATTCCCTTTGTGCATTTATTATGTAAATTACATTCTGATGAAATGGAATTTTATGACTGAAAGATGTATAATTAAGATTCAAACTGAACTGTGTTCAGTTACAGATAATTCATGCTGACTAACTAGAAGGCATTAATACTATATCCATTTATGTTGTATTTAGCTTTTGAAATATATTTTTCAAAGCCTTGAGTAATTACCAAGTCCTGTAAAATAAGATCAATGTAATCTGAATTTTGACATCTTATTCTAGTGAGGACATAGCTGATCATCACAGATAAAGCTTACAAATACTCAGTGGTATTGATACCAGAATCAAAATTTTTGATTGAAGAAAAGGTAAAATACAATGGTTAGGCAGAGCACACCACAGTATACAGAATAGCTGCAGTAGAAAAACATTGACAGAAGTAATAATTTTATTTGGAAAAGGTACCTTTAATTGGCTTAAAAGCAGGACAGAAATAAAGAGGTCATTTTTCTCTTAGCAGCTAGCAAAAAGAAAAAAAAAATATGGAGTTCAGCGTATGGACAAAAAAATAATTTTTCAGCAATTAACTGTTCTTTGTTGCATAGCTGTTTCCTGCAAATGTGAGGAAAATTGCACTTGCTTTTTTAATGACAGAAGGGTGAACCATCTGCACTGCAGTTGAATAGCAGATGTGAACAGGTGGTTGCTATGAAAGAGTTTTTGTCTACTAAACTCATACTGTAGCTTATTATGCAATAATAAGCTTCTTCAAAGCTTTTAGAGCAATGTAGACTCTACTACATTTTTCACACAGCTTAAAGAACAATCTCTAAATACATTGTCATTTCCACTCATTTGGCCTGTAGATGAGAGCATTAAAAAGGACAGCTGTTTTCATATTGTTGCTGGGAAAAATCTATTGGAATAAAATATGAATTGGAATAAATTGAAATGCATGTCTATAAGAAAGTATGGCAGAAAAGCAAGTCATCTTCTGCATTTTATGGCTGTGTGCCAAGATGGAATAAAGTATGCTTACACATTTCACTACTCCTGAGGACTTCAGTGATTGTACTCCAAATCTTTCTTTTCTTGCAAGTCTTCTTAAATTTTGAAATTTAAGAAATTGTGATGCTGTTACTGTCAACTATATACTCTGTATGTACAAAGATGCTACAATGTGATTTTAAACAAGGGCTCTGTTAAAAAATATATTATTTTTCAGTGACAATTAAGCCAAAAACCAATACTGGAAATTTTCTCCACT